GGCATCTGGGCGTAACCAAAGGGTCTGGCCGGCTCACTAAACTCAGAGGAAAGGCAAGACGGACATATAACCTGATTGTGACCTGTACCATCAGTATTGGAACTCTGCGCTGGCTGCACACATGGGAATGCCCCGAGTACTGTGATGTCAATTCTTGACTTAGCTCGACTCAACTCAACACAGTCTATACTAGTTTACTCTTCCTATCTCAGTAACTAGCTGTTTAAAAATAATAACATTATGGGCGTGTATGAGTTGCCATTGATCTGGGTGTTTCTCATTCTTGTGTATAATTCTTATTCATTTGAATAATTGTCATCTATAAACCAACATCAGTATCAGTCTATATCTTTTGTTGATTTATTTTAACAGCTGAAATTACATGAAGAGTCTACAGGAGAGGAGTTTGATATAGATGTTAGCCGATGGATGTCTCGCAAGAAAGAGGATTTCGATGTCTGGAGAGAACTGCCAGTCTCATATTTTGATGAACCGCCATTGCCAGGTTAAATTATTACGTCTTCTGGCATAATATGTATATATGTATGTGTATGTATAAAAATGCATCTTCATGGTAAAGTTGTCAAGCCATCTGCTTCACTCTCTGAAGCTCATGGGTTTATTTCACAGACACCTTTTTGGTTCATCAGTGCTTATGTAAAAAATCTTTTTTACAAATACAGAAATCTCTGAGGTTCATCTCTGGAGCTATGGAGTTCATGCTTTAAACAACACTCTCTGCAGGTGGCTAACTTTTCTGCAGAGAAAGACTGAACAATAAAGTAGATCATGTTTGCTTTAACTTTAACTCTAACCAATAAACTTGCTGTTACTCTCTCTATATATATTCTGTACATTTCCTCAACCTGAGACCATGTGTCCTTATGACCAAACAAATAAATAAACAGAGATACTAAATAAAGAAAGTCAAAAAGTTCCTGGAACTGATGCTTAAAGAGGACATATTATGTATTTTTTCACATTATGTACAATAATTATAAGTACTTGAATTTGTGTGCTTTATTAAAAAATTTTTATAATCTGGTTGAATGAAAAATACAAATTTAACTTACAACCAGTTTGGCTTATGCCCTGTTAGTCAATCATAAGTGGAAATTTGGTCGTAAGTCTGAAACATTATTTGTGTAGTTTTGTGCACATTTTTCTGCTTTCCCACTTCGTTAAGCTTCTTGGTCCTATTTCACTGGAATTCCTTATCTGTAGTCAGCTTGACACGGCTAGCAACCTGGATTTTTAGAAGACAAAGTCAGATTTTATTATGAAAGAGCATTGCTATTGGGGGAGTGAAAGTGGAGTTTGTAAAGAACTAGTGTGAGCAAGGTTGAGGAACACCTGGAAAAGAATGTAATGTTGACCAGGATGAAGGCAGATTTCATCTTAATGGAATGTTAATCATTAAGAGACAGCCAGAGAAAGAGAGAGAGAGAGAGAGAGAGAGAGAGAGAGAAAGAGAGAGAGACACACACACACAAAAAGAGAGAGAAACAAAAGAGAGCCAGAGAGACCAAAAAGAGAGACAAAAAAGAGAGAGAGACAAAAAAAAAGAGAGAGACAAAAAAAGAGAGAGAGAGACAAAAAAAGAGAGAGACAAAAAGAGAAAGAGATTATAAAAAGAGAGACTAAAAAGAGAGACAAAAAGAGAGAGCAACACACAAAAAGTGAGAGAGAGAGAGACAGAGAGAGAGAGAGAGCACTGCATCACTCTCCTCTCACATACTAATTACTTTTTAATGCTTCTCTCATTCTCAATTATCCTGAAAAATCTTTTTGCATTCTTCAAATATGAAGCAGAACATTTGGGTGGAAGGCGAGAGGAAGACCAATAAAGAGATGGATAAATGATTTAGTGAAACCTTCAAAAAGAGGAACAAATCCATCTCTTAAGCCACCTGAGAATAGCAAGACAAATACAGACAACCATAATAGTGGGCTGCAAGCTGGTATCAGTGAGATGACAAAAGAAGAAGAAAATCCTTGTGGTGCTTATTGGATTCACACAGGATAATGATTTGGCATCTAATTTAAATGGATGTTATTTATTTTCCAGCTGTTACTTCTGTCATGTTTTAAAATAATTGTTTCTTCTAAATACATGTGGTATATTTTTATAAACTCAACAGTCATGACCTATACTATTGAGGTTCACACATCAGACATTTCTGGAGCAGACACACAAGCTGCCATTTATATTAATCTGATTGGGCAAAGAGGTGACTCTGGAAGGCGGAGACTGTATGCCACGCTGACGGAAGGCAGAATGTTTTCACAGGGAAAGGTTAGGCTAAATCGTATCTTAGAGAAAAACTGACATTGGTAAATTTGTAAGAAAAAAAAAGGATTTTGGGAAATTTGAAAAACTGAAGAAAGAAAATTGCTGGTGAAGTGAAAATAGATACAAAGTAAAAATCAGAGACTCTTTTTGATGCCTTGAAGTGTATTAGATATTTTCAATTATGTGTTATCTCTTTAGTAAAGGTTG